TAGTCGAGTGCGTTCAGCCAAGTTGGCCAAGCGCGCGTCCTCCAAGGCGCGAGCCTCAGGGGTTTCTCCAACGATCGGAGTGTGAAGCGCATCCATGTTCCGGCGGCGAAGTTCTTCCCTCTGCAGCGAATTGAGGGGCTCGGGAAGGTATTCTTCATGGACGTGTGACGGATCGCCATCGCCGATACCTCCCTCGACACCTTGAAAGCCGGGGGGACCGTGTGGTCCATTGACCATCAGGACCTCTGCCGCTGGATCACTGCTGTCGCACTCGGATGCAGTCTCTGCGGAGCTAGTCGATAGGTCGAACAGGCTGTAGCGAGATTCGTCGGGCTCGATTGCCGCGACTTGGGCGGTGGTCGACTGGCGAGCCACCGCGTGCCTCACCCACCGTCGAAGCCTCAACCGACCGGAGCGCTTGCGCCGGCGGGAAGCCGGGAGGGAGGATGACACAAAAACCGACCGATACTGGGTCGACGGTGGCCGCAGAAGGACGCCGCGGACGCCCGCTCGAAAGTGCGTAGCCCCGCGGACTGGGAGCGCGTCGACGTCGAGCGGAGCCTCCTGCAGCCAGGCAGAGTCGTCGGCGACGAACGTGAGCGCGCCGAGACGGATCTCGCGGCCCTCAACCAAAACTCCACCTGAAACCATGATGATGGGAATCGGAAAAATTGCAACTTCTCCAATAAGTCGCTAAGACACCTGACCCACGGTGGGCGCCAACTGTCGTGGTTCTAAGTCTGACAGTAATGTAGGGGGGTACTAAGGAGAGGCAAGATCCTAGCTATGGAGTAGTTGTGCACACAAGAGTTTTACGAGTTCAGGCCCTTCTCGGAGGAAGTAACAGCCCTACGTCTCGGTGCCCGGAGGCGGTCGACTGGATTATATGTGTGAGAGTTACAGGGGTGTGAACCCTTCTGTCTGTGGAGGGGGGTGGCTTATATAGAGTGCGCCAGGACCCCAGCCAGCCCACGTAGCAGAGAGTTCAATGTACATAAAGGCCAGACGTTACTGGTAACGCCTTACATAAAGTGATATCATGGCCATAAAGACTACTTAATAACAGACCGTTTGGATGTAGAGTGACCTTAGATCTTCTGGCGGTCGAGTGAGTCTTCATGGTCGACTGTCTTCGAGTCCGTCGAGTGGAATCCTTCCAGGTCGACTGAAAGGTAGTTTCTTCTAGAGATGTCCTTGGGGAGGGTATTTTGGACAGGTTCGTGACCCTACCCTAGGTACATGGCTTCATCACCCGGCACCGTGAGTCAGAGGGCCTTTGGGAGGTTGACTGGCTTTGTGTTCCTTCCGCTGCCACCACTTCTGCCACCTCTCATGCTCTTACTGCCTCCTCGTCTGCGTCTTTCCAGCAGTGGCATCATCGTCTTGGTCACATCTGTGGCTCTCGCTTGTCATCATTAGTGCGTCAGGGTCTCTTGGGGTCTCTATCTGGAGATGTTTCTTTACATTGTAATGGTTGTAGACTTGGCAAACAGACCCAATTACCTTATCCTACCAGTGAGTCGGTCTCTCAGCGTCCATTTGACTTAGTTCATTCTGATGTCTGGGGTCCTGCTCCCTTTGATTCGAAAGGTGGTCATCGCTACTATGTTTTTTTATTGATGATTTCTCTCGCTACACTTGGCTTTACTTCATGAAATCTCGTAGCGAGGTTCTCTCTAGATACAAATGATTTGCTGCCATGGTTCACACCCAGTTTTCCACGCCTATTCGTACTTTTCATGCTGACTCCGCTGGAGAGTTTATCTCCCAGCGGTTGCGTGGTTTTCTCGCGGAACAGGGTACTCTTGCCCAGTTCTCATGTCCTGGTGCTCATGCACAGAATGGCGTTGCAGAACGTAAGCATCATCATCTGCTTGAGACGGCTCGTGCGCTGATGGTTGTTGCTTCCCTTCGACCTCATTTTTGGGCTGAGGCTGTTTCTGCATCCACCTATCTCATCAACATTCAGCCATCGACTGCCCTGCAGGGTGGTATTCCTATGGAGTGTCTCACTGGTTGTTCTCCTGACTACTTAGCTCTTCGTATGTTTGGATGTGTGTGCTATGTCCTTCTTGCCCCCCGAGAACGCACCAAACTAACGGCTCAGTCGGTTGAGTGTGTTTTCCTTGGCTACAGTGATGAGCACAAGGGCTATCATTGTTGGTCGTCGCTTGCGCATCTCGCGTGGTGTGACTTTTGACGAGTCTCGTTCTTACTACCCACGTCCTTCTTCCTCGAGCTTCTCTGTGGATGATATTTATTTTCTTCTCCTTCCCGATACACCCTGCTATCTGCCTCATGTGTCACCTCTTCCTCCAGCACCTCTCATTCTTTCTCATTCACCACCGACACCATCTTCCCCATCCTCCTCCACCTCTCCACCATCATCTCCAGTTCGTCGCCCTCTCTCACCGTTTCCTCTCCACTATACTCGCCGCCTCGTACTGAGGATGCTTCCCCTGACGCGCCTTCCGCCTCTGTTGCACCTCCCTTCACGCCTCCCCCGGTTCATAACCTCTGTGCTCGGCCTCACCCCCCGCCTGACCGCTATTCTCCTGATCGGTACGGTCTCTCTGTTATTGCTGAGCCCACTTCCTATCGGACTGCCATGACTCAGCCTGAATGGCAGCTTGCGATGGCTGAAGAGCTTGCTGCCCTTGAGCGCTCTGGCACATGGGATCTGGTTTCCCTCCCTTCCGGTGTTCGTACCATCACCTGCAAGTGGGTCTACAAGGTTAAGACTCGCTCTGATGGTTCTCTTGAGCGCTACAAAGCTCGTCTTGTGGCCCGTGGTTTTCAGCAGGAGCAGGGACGCGATTATGATGAGACATTCGCTCCTGTGGCCCACATGACCATTGTCCGCACTCTCCTTGCTGTGGCTTCTGTTCGTCATTGGTCTATCTCTCAACTTGATGTCCAGAACGCTTTTCTCAATGGCAAGTTACGTGAGGAGGAGTATATGCAGCCACCACCGGAGTACTATGCTCCTGATGGTATGGTCTGTAGACTTCGCCGCTCCCCCTATGGTCTTAAACAGGCCCCTCACGCCTGGTTCGAGCGCTTCGCCTCTGTGGTGACTGCCGCTGGTTTCTTGCCCAGTGATCATGATCCCGTGTTGTTTGTTCACACATCTCCTCATGGCCGGACTCTTCTCCTTCTCTATGTTGATGATATGATCATCACTGGTGACGACTCTGACTACATTGCCTTTGTTAAGGCTCGCCTTCGCGACCAGTTCCTCATGACTGATCTTGGTCCACCTTGCTATTTTCTTGGGATTGAATCTCCTCAACCTCTGATGGCTTCTACATCTCCCAAGAAACATATATTCAGGATCTTGCTCGCGCTGCTCTCGGTGATGAGCGCACTGTTGTAACTCCTATGGAGCTCAACGTTCAGCTTCGTGCTTCTGATGGTGACCCTCTTCCTAATCCCATTTGCTATCGTCACCTCATTGGCAGCCTTGTCTATCTTGCTGTTACGCGTCCTAACATCTCCTATCCTGTCCACATCCTGAGTCAGTTTGTTCCAGCCCCTACCTCTCTCCACTATAGTCCTCTCCTCCGTGTTCTTCGATATCTTCGTGGCACGATCTCTCATCGCCTTTTCTTTCCCCGCTCCAGCTCTCTTGAGCTCCAGGCCTACTCTGATGCTACCTGGGCTAGTGATCCCTCTGATCGACGCTCGCTGTCTGCTTACTGTGTCTTTCTTGGTGGCTCTCTTTTTGCCTGGAAGACAAAGAAACAGACTGCAGTTTCTCGCTCGAGTACAGAGGCTGAGTTGCGAGCCATGGCTATGTTGACGGCTGAGTTGATCTGGTTACGGTGGTTACTTGAGGATTTAGGAGTGTCTGCTACTACCTCGACTCCCTTACTGTCAGACAATACCGGTGCTATCAGTATTGCACGTGACCCGGTGAAGCATGAGCTCACCAAGCACATTGGTGCGGATGCCCACTTTGTGCGTGTTGCTGTGCAGGATCAGACTCTCGCTCTTCACTATGTGCCTTCTGAGTTACAGTTGGCAGATTTTTTTCACGAAGTCACAAACTCAAGCGCAGCATGGCTTCTTTCTCTCCAAACTCAGTGTTGTTGATCCACCATGAGTTTGAGGGAGGCTGTTAGATGTGTATAGTCCTCTTTCTGTATATCCCCATTGTATAAGGGGTTTCCTGCACTTTGTCACACATGTATATGTATTGGCCTTTGGCCCTCAGTGAATACCAGTTGCTGTTTATCTAACAAAGCCGACCACCTTCGATAGAAGAGATGACCACCACCGCCGGCTGCACCAGCCAGACCAGATCTGACTGGAGGTGCTGCCGCCGAGACCACCAGGCCCTCCACGCCGCCACCGCCGATCCGAATGCAGATTGCACGCCACCGCAGCCAAGCTGGCCACCGTCGTCGTCCAAAAGGACCAGCCGCTGCGCCCGCCGCCCGAGGCAGGGCCAGCCACCGCCGCCGGCTGCCGCAGCCATCTCCGCGGCGCCGCAAAAACCGGATCGGCCGCGCCACCTCACGCCTAGGAGCCCCGCACCACCCGTGAGATGCAGGAGAGAGGAAATCCTCTACTACCGCCGTCGGCCCCCGGGCTAAGCCCGGCGGCATCCCCCGGCGGCGGCGGTGGGAGGGGACGAGGGAGAGCGTGCGCCCAGCGGCTAGGTTTTTGGGCGCCGCCTGAGTCGCGGTTTGATGTATATTGAATTTGCCTAACTGCTTGATCTAACAGCACAATATATTTGCCACACATGACTAACAAGTGGAGGATGTTGCAACTATAAACATCTTACAGGACCACTGGACAAAGATATGCTCCATTTTCTCCTTTCAATTAGTTTGTTTTTTATTTATTACAATCATACGATAAGAACTTCACTATCATTACTTGGCTAAACACAAAGTTATACACGCTTAAGAATAAATTATTATAATTAGCACCCATTCGTCTTGAAATTCTAGCAAACATATTAGCGAACAAAACTAAAGAACACAATTAACCTTGTACACAGGCCAAACCCTCCCTCCCCAAGCTTGTTTTCAGTTGAGAAGTTGTCTGTGGCATTTTCTATCTGTAAAAAGGAAAGCATCATAAAGTGAGAGCCTGTGTCTTCGCTCTCCCAAAGCTTCATCACATCTGAAGCCATGACGAGGGGGTGATCAGGCTGTTTTCTTTTCCCTGATTCACAAAAGGGGACTTGTCATGTGTTTATCAGACTAAGACATGTCATGTTCTTTAACTATGAATTGTTTTTTCCAACTCAGAATGGTTACCTTTGTTTTTCCTTCTCCTAATCCAAATAAAAGAGATGAGACAAAAGACAAGGAATGCAACTGGCGGAAGTACATACGCCATCCAAAGCATTTTGTGACCTGCAAAAACAGAGCTTGTCACTTGACACAATAATACTATCAATAATGTTTCTGTTTTCTTGCAATTAACCCTATCTTCACATACTGTCTCCCCAGTGGCACTAGTCCTTTACCATGTAATTCTGATGCAGCTATACGAAGATGAAGAGTTTCAACTCCATCCTGCAAGTTTGTTAGATTGCCATGCCATAAGCTGCAACCATCGGAGAGCGAATGAGCATATGCCGTACAAGAGCAACTTTTCATACAGGCAAATTCGCATTCACTTTTTTCCACAACTGACAGCTTCTGTCTGTTGCCAGGAACTGTCATATTAAGCATATCAATAAACCTATCACCATTACACTGCAGTGGGGTTTGTCTGGTGCACCCTTTCCCGGAATTTGATTGGTGTTGTGCTGCAAATCCTTCTGGACACCGACAAATGGATTCTGATGCTGATACGGACATACTGTTGTTGCATACACCATTAACTCCACATAAATTAGACACATCACAACTATCTGGATGTCTCCATAACAATGTCCACAATCTGGTTTCCGGATTGAACTGTGTTATGTTCAGTGAACCACTTTGATCCAAAACAATCTTAGTCATTATGCCAGCAGGGTTGGGAGTGTACATGCATGTAAGGTTGTCACACTGAAATGAAACAGGGATGATACTCATAGATTTCAGTTCTGGAATGAGAGAATTCGTGTCACTATTCCAGGATGCACTTGTCCAAAATGAATTCCGATTCCAGTTAATAATGAATTGTGATGCTGATGTATTAACTATGCTCGGTCCAAAACCAAAAGTGTAATCTCCTGTTGCTGGATCATCATAGCTCTTCCATGATTTCAGCAAATTTCTAAGTGTAATATTCGTTCCAGGGAGCCATGTATCAGTAGGATAGGTAAAGCTATCCCATATGATATTTGACTGGTTGGCCATGCTCCTTAGCACCAAGTTGCCAGTATACAGTATTGCAGCCTCCCTGTCCCTCACTCCCACCCCAGAACCAAAAGCAACTATAGACGAGCTGCCTGTGCCATTTTGGACTATCAGATTACCGACATCATCAAACTTAAGTACACCGGACTTATCATGTACTGGATCATTCCTGTTAGCAACCCATACAACCGTTCCATTTGGAATACTGTTATACCATATACCAATATATCGGTGGCTTGAAGCTCCAGGGCTAAAGAATCCAAGCACAAATTTCTTGTCACTAGAAACAAGGTTCTGCCCATCAGAAATAGATTCATTGAACGCGATGGTGTCTCTTGGCGTGGTAGCCGAGAAACATCTTATTGTTAACACAGATGGAATCAGCAGAACAACAACTGTGCACTTCTTCAAGTAGCTTATTTCCACCAACATGGCTTTCTACAAGCATAAACTGGGAAAATTGCAAACCAAAACAATTAAGAGGGAGAGAAAGAGAGTTACCCTAAAAGGAGGGCATAACATAAGCAGATCTCAAATTTTCATACCTCTGTGAGTTTCTCGAAGTAATGAATCAAGGGGTGAGCAGGGTAAGCAGAATATTTGTTGTAATCGTTGCAAGATGGTATGAACTTTTTGTCCAGCAAATGGCTCCACAGACCATGAACATACAGGGTTGCCAGCTTTGACGATTCCATGAAAGCAATTTTCCAATTGCCAGTAAAGCATGAAAGATAGCCGAGTCAATGCTGGGATGTGACTCTTATGTATGTCGAAAAATAATCATACTACGCACTGACCACAAATAATTAGGGACATCCTTTCCACGGTTCCACAGGTAGTGAGTTTTGAACGGGGACTGACTGTTGACTTATCAACCCCCAACATATTTCCACAAGACGAATGAACCAGCTGCGCCTGTGCAATAAAGACCGCAATCTTCATTCATTTTCCACAATGTGAAACTGTTGTGATCTGCATCACAAGGGCGTGGTCAGCAATTACCATGCTCAAATATCGTGTACTGATCTACAGCGTGTCTACAGGACTTCCAGCACTTCCAGAAGAAAATGAGTGGAGGACTGGAGGGGGGAAGGGAGGGGTGCCGTGACCTCGCTCCTTTCTCTTCCATCGACCCCATTTTTGCACGATCCGTCTTTCCCTACCACACACAACACACAAAATTACGGAAATCCAAACATAATAAGCCAAGAATCTCTAACAGAAATTTTAATTGCAGAAGAAATGGCGCACCAGGTTCGAACTGTAGACCAATGACGACGCTCCGGAGTTGGGTGAGTGAGCTTCGCGTCCAGGTAAAATGACAGCAATAAAAGGCAGTGCAGCGGAAATCGCCTCGCAGCCGCCGCCGCCGCCGCCGGTGACCACTCATTGCCTCATGGGCCATGGCGGAATCGGTGCCGGCGACAAAGGCGAAGGGTCTCGAGTTGGGCTATGGACTTCTGCTGCAGCTGGTTCGTATGAAGCCCATTCAGCTCAACGAATACCGCAGCTCGCTTAACTCAAGTGGAAAAATAGAAAAAAAAGAAGTGAACATACAAGTACATCCATTCACTGGGAAATGACGTCAAGAAGCTTCACATATCAAAAAAGGGTCTATAAAAAACTTTGACAAGACGAAGTACATTTATATGAACAATTTATAATTTTGATGCTCGGCTAAAACTTATCGCATTTTAATTACATTTTTTAATAATAAATATATGTGTTATACTCCCTCCGTTCCCAAATACTTGTCTTTCTAGGCATTTCAAATGGACTCAACATACGGATGTATGTAGACATATTTTAAAGTGTAGATTCACTCATTTTGCGCCGTATGTAGTCACTTGTTGAAATCTCTAGAAAGACAAGTATTTAGGAACGGAGAGAGTATGTCATAAAAGTTATACCATTTAAAACTTTGCTTCAATATGAATCCAACAATCTCCCGCAAAAAAAAACACCTGCAAAAAAATATATGAATCCAACAATATATTTTCTGAGAAATATAGCTCACACTTACTTGATTTAGTTAATGGTTAAGCTTGTGTTTTGATATGTGTGTGCGTCACGTATCTGTAACAGCATGAAGTTTTGGGGGCCAATTATTCCCCACTCCGAGACTCGAACTCAGAACTAGTCAGATGCAGTAGACAACTAGAATTGTCTGAAGAAAAAAGTAATCTAAATCAAAAGGAAATGGTTGAGTCTCCAAGGAAATAAGTGGTTAACAGATAAGAAAATCATGCGTTCAAGACCCGAATTTAGGCAACCAGCATGCCGCATATGCATGTAAATCGCAACAACCTGAACCACCACATGCAAAAAATAACACGGACACGCGTCTACAGAGGCAAAAATCAAGCAGCATACAACCGAGCGGGAGACAAACACGGAGGTGAAAAAAAAAGCAGCCAGCCCATAAATCCATCCAACCAGAAAGCGGACAAAACTAAACTACGTGATCAAATCAACTACGACGCCATGCAGCACACATGCAAAGGCAAAAGGAATGTCCCACATCACACAAAAATTGCTAGATCCACCCCAATGACTACACAGCGATGAAGCAATGAAGTTCAAAAAATTTGAATCAAAAACACACAGCCACACATCGGTTTCTACCCCACCATATCCCAAAGTAATACATGTGCCAAGAAAGAAAATGCCCACAAGTTGCTTTCAACCAAGTGGTTGAATCTCAGGGCAAAAACATTGCCAGATATAGAGGTTTGGTATTCTTACTTGTTATAATAGAGAAAAAACCTCCCCGAAATCGTACTTACTCTTTTCATTGCACATGACCCAACAAAAAAGTCTTTTTCAAATTTAAGGAACTGATGTATCTTTTTGAGGACATAAACTCGTATCTATATTTACTATCGTTGAGCATAATGTGTGGTTTTTTATTTTATCCTAAATTCAAAGATAAGTCATTAGAATTACGAGCAAACATGTTCGTGTGTTGCAACGGGAGAAAATATATTGCACACCCATTCATCACCCACCTCATGGCTCAGTGGACAATTGTGTGCAAACAATCCGAGGTGTTTTTCATATTAGAATCCTTTTAGCTTGCACTTGTCCCTAATTTTCACATGAAAGATGTTAATATCAGAGGTGTTTCTATATCAAACCTAATTATGATATACCATCTTCAATTGAGAAGCTTCCGGTAAAAAAAGAGCTTAAGGTGGAAAAGGAGAAAATGAATTGAAAGAGTCGTATCAAGTGATTAGAAGTTGTAGCTAGTTGTACGTGGGTTCAAGTTTAGATTGCTGGCGGGACAAAGGATCGGTGGTCAAGGCAACTTGTGATCTACTCCCACCGTTCCAAAATAGAGGACTCAACTTTGTACTAAAGTAGTATAAAGTTGGATCGTTTATTTTAGAACGGAGGGAATAGGCCTTGCAGTGCACATACAACATGCCTAAGGTCAAGGCCGGCGTGCAGCCGAATCACTCATCGCCATTACCCGTGACTCCCGTGCAGTACCGCATCACGTTTCATGTCGTGTCAGAGTCTAGCATCGTGCAGCTATGCGTACTCGCAATGGGAGAGTCCGGCGTCCCGGGAATCCATCCGTGTAAGGCCGTTTGGTTGAATCTTACGCTCATGCCAAGCAACGGTACGCTCTCGCAATAGACTCTTAATTCGTGGGGGCATGCGGCTCACACGAACGACAATGGACCAAAAAACCAGCATCTGGCCTACAGCAGTTGGAAGTGCGAAATGCACAGCGTAACAAAAATGTTACCTTCTGACTGGAGGATGATTATAATGTCGGGGGTTTCTAAAAATTTCATGACGGACCAAAACAAGAATACCACATCTCTTTTACTGGAATCCAATAACTCCTGAACGTTCAGATTTTGAGCATTTCGTCCCGAACGTTTTTACATGGCAACTTTAGTTCATAGGGGATGGCAACTTTAGTCTATAGGGGATGGCAACTTCGTCCTTTTTTGTTTTTTTGTCGGAAAATTACCATGTTTCCCTAATCTCACGCAAACTAAACTTGTCATCTAAACCCGTTCGGGCTGCCATGCTTAACTCCCGAACGTTAGGGAGTTATCATTACCGCTTTTATTACTAGGTAATAGATT